ATTTTCATAGCGCCCACTCCCGTGTAAACACTACTCCAGACACTATATAAATGCAAGTATAAATTCGTAAATTAGCCAAGTGTATACATGTTGTAGATATGATAAGAAATTAATAACTGCCCCAGCTCACGTTGAAGAAATCACACACACACACACACACACACACACACTCTCTCTCTATCATCACTTACACATCCATATGAAATTGAATACACACAGTGATGCAATTTAACAATACGCTGATGCGATCTGTATGTGCAGAAAAACTAATGCTCAAATAGTTACATAATATGTACCTTACTTAATAATGCAAAGAGAATAAATAACGAAAGTCATAAACTATTCAATGAATTGTGTCTTTAAACATTTTTTTGTAAGTGGTTTTTTTTTTTTTACCGAGCTCGCAAGTGCATATGGCCATATGACCGCGCAGGACACACCAAACATTTTCAGTAGGTAGGAAATTTTGAATTTTGCCCGGGTGGCAGCCGAGGCCTACTTTTATCGATTCTGGACCACCAAGTAATCTTTGACGAGCACAACTTGCACACGGGACCTCCAAGATTTTTCGCCCTTGTCCGAGATGGCTAGGTGTAGATCATTCCTACCAGAAGATCAGGGGTGTGACTGAAAGACAGCACAAAGAAGGAGCCAAGGAGAAGCAGAAGAAAGGCTGCAAAAAGAGTCAGGAGCCCAGAGGAGGGGGCAAAGGAGGTGAGGGGGAGGGGGCAGAAAGTGGAGACGAAAGCAGACGACAGAACATTGCTAGAGAGCAGGAAAGGAGGTGAAAGGAGAAACTTTTAGAGAAGACATTTTTTCCATCGCTACCCCCGGATTCGAACCCAGGGAACTTTGAATGAGAGGCGAACACCTTAACCCCAAGGCCTTGATAGCCCACTGTCTTTAACCATAATAATATTTTAAATTTAGACACCTGTGTTTACAGAAAACCAAGTTCATTTAAAACTGACAGAAGTAAAATGGGCACTTTCTACAAGGCAACATTTGACAGAGCTATACGGAAAAAAGCAACAGTTATTAATAGTCCTCTCCTCTCTTTCACTGAGCTTTGCAATAATATATAATTTTATATCAATATTGTGAAAATAACAAACGCCACTGAGCTTTAGGGCCTACAATATTAAAACTGAAAGCAGTAGCAGCAATTATTGCAGAATGAAACCTATCCCCCATTACACGTTAGAAGTGTCAGACATCTGTTGGAAGTAAATGTTTCTTTTTCCAAGTTAAAAAAAATGGTAAGGACAGGTATGAGAATTCATTGATACTGTCGTCAACCACGGCCTATTCAGCCATTGTCAGGTCTGCGGGAATAACATTTTGTATGTCCTTCCAAAGACAATTATCTCTCTCTCTCTCTCTCTCTCTGTGTGTGTGTGTGTGTGTGTGTGTGTGTGTGTGTGTGTATGTGTGTGTGTGTGTGTGTGTCAGTGTTCTGACATTTCATTTTGTAACCTTAGTTAAAGGAAAACAAATAGAAAAAATATAAGCAGGTGCAATATTTTAAATGATTATGTCCCTTGGAAAGTTGTACAACTCCATAGTTTTGTCGAGAGATCATAATTTGATTGGAAATTCTTCAATCAACTGCACAACTGATGCTGGGAGAGGCTTGAGTTTAATCCTTACCCCCCCCCCCCAATAATAACTTCAGGCACACATTTGGAAAAGGAGAGGGCTTCTGTTTCAAGTGCCCGGCCTAAAAAAAAACAATCGCAGATCATATTTCACCACTCCTTTCTCTGCTCGGGTACTCAAAATAAGTATATTTTCAAGTAAGAAAAGAAGAAAGGAAAACAAATTACATGTAATAAAAAAGAAGGACCTCCCCCCCCCCCCCAAAAAAAAAAAAAAAAAAAAAAAAAAAAAAAAATAAAAAAAAAAAAAAGCCCCCCCCCCCCCCCCCAAAAAAAAAAGAAAAGAAAAAGAATAACCAACCAAAAAACCCAACTTCCTCCCTCCCTTAGATCTATTACTCTTTTGTTTTTCAGTCTTTGGTCTTTTCAAGTTTTCCAAGTAAGTTTTTTCTTGGTCAGCCTCAGCCTTTTCAAGTGAGAGCAAGAAGTTCAAGGCTTTTGTGTTGATACACATGTCCTCATTTGTCATTTGGAGATGGGGAAAATAATGTTAAGATTCCGATGATCTAAATACTCTTCGGCTAACCATCTTTCGTTTCCTCTTTGAACAAAAGTGTCTAACCTCTGGGGTCCCATGTTAAATATGTTAATCATTTTCAATTTGGTTGGAAAATCTCAATTTTGCTTGGGTGGCGGCTGAAGCCCACTCTTATCAATTTTGGACCACCAAGGGGTCTTTAAGGTGCTCAACTTGTACATGGGACCTCTGATATTTTTCTCCCTTATCCGAGAAGGCTAGGTGTACAATCTTACCTACCATAAGACCTGGGGTGTGGCTGAAAAGACATCAGTAAGAAGGAATCAAGGAGAGCAGTGGAGAGGCAGCAGAAAGAGCCAGTGGCACAGAGGATGGGGAAAAGGAGGTGAAGGGCTAGTGGCAGAAAGTGGATACAAAACCAGTCGACACAACATTTTTAGAGAGCAGGAAAGAAGATGAAAGGAGACAATTTTAGAGAAGAAAATGTTCTGATGGTATCTAGATTCGAAACCGTGAACTGTTGAATGAAAGGCGAACGCCGTAACCTCTCGTCTACGAGAAACTCCTGTTGTAGAGCTGTGTGTCATCTGTATACATGTATCTATAATCCATACATGTATTGTGCTTTCTAACCATAGCTCCGAATGGATGTGTGTATATTATGTAATAAATCATACATGCAATGAAACTTGTGCTTTCTAATTATTGCTCCCAATGGCTGTGTAGACATGCTGTATATTAAATGATGGGGCCGATACTGAACATTGGGGCACACTAGAATCTAGTTTTAAAATCGGTGAAGGGGACGAGTACGAGAGCACAGATTGTGTACGGTCAACCAGGTTTTTGTTTAGTTTAGTTTAGTAAAGAGTTTTACGGCACTTGCAACACAATAAGGTCATATAAGTGCCGAAGATTAGAGGTGTTACAAGAGAGTAACAACAAACGTAAAAAAGAAGGAGGAGAGATAAGGACGATAGATGTTTAAGAGGAAAGAAGGAGCAAACCACACCAGAGCACCCGCCAACCACCCACCAACCAGGTTTGGCATAAACGGGAAAGCATCGGAGCCGCACATTAAAAACAACAACAACAACAACAACAACAAAACAGCAACCTCCAAAACAAAACAAAACAACAAACACATAACCTATAAATAAATAAATAAATTTTACAAAATGCTAATAATCAAAGTAGCGCACTATCAGAGCCGTGTACTTTTAACCATATCGATGCAATCAAATTGTCAATACCATCCAACGTCACACTACCTTCGACCAAAATTGTTCCGAACTATTATAAAAAAAAAACTATTTCCCAGATGAGCCAATTGACAAATTGAGTTGGGTATATTCGTGTCATCTACAACTAAAACTGTTTTTCTTAATAAACTCTCTCACGGAGTCCTAGAGTGTCGCTAGTGTGTGAAAGAAACGTTTTGTATGAGTATTTTACGGCATTTTCAACACATTAGTGTCATTTTAGTGGGGAAGATTAGAGGTGTTACAAGAGAGTAACAAACACAAAAAAGAAGGAGGGGGTAGATTAAGACGATAGATGTTTGATAGGAAAGAAGACGCAAACCACACCAGAGCACCCACCAACCGCTCACGTAAAAAAAAAGACCATGACTCAGGTAAATTATGATTTACAACGCAATGACATGAGCAATGTGTATTGACAATATCATCATCTTGACCTTGACCATCAATTATTTATTTATAGAGGCACCA